GTCCTAATTAAAGAACAACAACCAGCCTATGTCTTCAAATTGCAATTGCAGATAAGTCATACGAATCCCAATCACAATAGAGAGTAACGAATGATCTAAACTGTTCCATACTTGTGGATATAACAAACCTTAACAAAAGTAACCAGCACCTAAATAATCTCCATAGCCCATTAAAAACATGCGCTAGACACTCACACGTCTGTGGCCTCAGCCTGCCCCAACTGGTTGTCGGTACTGCCGCCCAAAGTAGCTAGCTCTCCACCCAGCTCATCTCAGGTCGGCGTCTCCACAAGGTCTCTTCTTCAATGCCACGCGCGTGCTTTATATACGAGCTTCTAAAAATATCATGCACCACAAGACATATGGCGCGTGGAGTCAAACAGAACTACGGAATGCCGAAGAATCATTTCGTTACAATATCATGACTTTGGTGCAAACAATGCGTGTGTGAAGTTTAAGGACAATGATGTAACGACAGACCCAAAGTTACATTGTTCAAAAATCACTTAAAGATTTTTTCCCAATAGCAAATAAGCACTTAAATGATAAAGTACATGTAAATATCAGCATTACTTTTCCAAGGTGCTGGAGTGGAATGCCTTATTGTTCATACACAAGAAGTATGGAATTTATTATTTGATAATTTTGTCAACGTTTAGGCAATTTTCATGGACAATACATAAGGTAACCTTTACCTTCAACTATAACAACTCTCTCGACATGTGTCATACATACATGTATACAACCTTATACTTGGCTGGAAATGTAGCGAGCACTAGCAAGTTTGGTTTTGTGCAGTTTTACTGGTAGGCCCATATGAGAAGACTGTCTTGTTTGGGGTAAAATCAAGAGCCGGAAAATCTGCAAAAATCACAGATTTGGGGGTAGAAATCGGAAAAGGCAATTCTCGGTAAAAAAATTTAAAAAACAAATAAATATTTTTGATCTGCACAATTAATCAAATAAATATGAACCCAAATTAGGAATGACAACTCGTTTTCAACGTTCAACTCACTTTGAAAATAACATCTGGTAGCGTTTCCCCTCCTGTTTTTCCTTTGCAATATCATAGAAATTGGTATTAAATTCCTGCAGCTTCACACTACAGAGATTACACTGGTCCCCGTTCTCTATTAATAGTCCCTCAATGGGGACAGGAACCAGTCCAAGATCTCGGTGGCATGGTGCGTGTAGGCCCTACATGTATCATTACGCCAAAGATACCTGTAGGCCTACATATACAGTACATGTATGTGACCAAAGGGTTATCTGATAACCCTTTGATCACATGCATGTGTATTAAAATGTAGAATGCAGAAGAAAGCAGAATTTGACTTTCAGAAAGAAGAAAATTCTGGACTTTAGTGTGGGGCTATCTTCAAAGCACTTCATCTTCTGAAAAACATGTGTGATAGGTTTGAAACCGCACAGGTACTTAGACAGGAAGTTTGGACTGTGCAAAAGGTTGTTCGCATTGAAGAGGCTAACAATCTAGTCTTGGTCCCATTGTTCTAGGACCTACAGTTCAGAAGTTACAACTTTACCATAATTAAGGCCACAATTAGTTAATTAAGCCTAATTAATGGCCAGCTAAAATTTGTCTCCCACCCTAGCTTTGATACTGGCATCATTCTTGACCTTTTCAGAGATTTTGAACCTAGTGAGTCTTAACGCATGACTTTTCCGTTAAAGAGCTGCTACTATACATGCGTAGTAGCAACTATGATCCCATTACGTCCATCGGGTGAGGGAATTATATCTTAATACGTAAAATAACCAAACGCTTCAATGTCATCACCAACGAAAAGTGGTAGGTAGCCTCCCTCAACCTTGTAAGCAGCCTCCTTCAACCTCATCTATGTTGCTCCCACAACGTCCTCATAATTCACAAATAAATATCTGTTCATGTACAAAATGCACCTCCGTACATTAACATGACATTTGTAAATTTACGTTTTTTGTAATAAGATTGTTGCACAGAAAAACTTCCAACTGTATACGCAGCGACACAGGAGGGGCTGAAACGACCAGCCTGTCGCTCCCATCATATATCTATGCTCCCATTCAACAGCTCAACGACAGCCAAACAGATCCAGTTTAACTAACTATCTTACTACTAATGCGCACAGCCCTCAATAAAGATGTAATTCACAACACTGAAAAATGCCAACACTTAAAGAGCCTTTTCGTGTGATCTAATTTACATAAACATTTCTATGCATGTAGTATTTTGTCCTTGCTTGGTTTTGGATTGTCGAAATTTTGAATCATGTTGTTGGGGGTTGTGACTGGTTCCCGTACATTCAATGTTGTTCGCAATCGGAACCAGTGCATTTACTATTCTTGGGCATACTTGCACACACGGCGGAATATCACTTGAGTAAAATAATCAATTTGTTTTTCTTTGTTTCGATAAAAAGTGAATTCCGGTTTCGAAAAACCTCAACAATTTTGAATGGCCCCATGTTATGTATTCTTTCATACAATGCTTCTGAACGGAATCAACCCGTTCGGCTACTGCCCGCAGTCCCCACGTGGCTGCCCCATGCGTGTGGAATACACAATAGGTCTATGCTATGATGATAGCCGTTCACATTCCTGGTCCTATTTAACGTCCACAAAACACAGTTAGTGTCAACAAAGTGATAACTCAAACATAGCCTTTTTGTCCAACTCTGTTATTTCAGAAATGTAAATTTGCTTCAAGATTTTTGCAAGCAGCATAGTCTACAGACAGTTCTGACGTTCGAATGTCTCCATCATTTTTTCCTTCGGCATGTTAGACAGTGTGTGTAATTTTTTATTTACAGTGTTTGCCCAAAACATTACACCAACTATCTAAAAAAATGATATTTCGGTCTGTTGGCTGCTGATGTCCTCTTCCTAGTTTTTACTGAAACGTATTTCAAACAGGCGTTTAAGACCGCCTCATACTAGCAGGAGACTGGACGTGACTTATGCCGAATCTGAAGGCGAGGGCATTATCAGGCGTACATTGAGAAATTTTTATTGCTGTGCGAAACCATTTTGTTTTCATCACGTTAGACAACTTATTGAAAACTCAAAAGTTTTCAATAACAGACTGAAATCCAGTCCTTGTGTGGTACAAGATTATGTAGAATAAAAACGAAATGATCAAGGAGTGTTTGTACAAAACAGAAGAGGCGACTACTCTACACAGTGGGTGCATTTGTCAGACTGGTACGTGTTCATGTGTAGAAAACAGTTGTCCTGACAACCTGTTTATATAAACCTGTATATACAAACACAAATAATCCCTCTATATCATGAAATACGGGGATTGTAATTTTGATTCTGTTTTATTTTTTTTTTTTGTGAATGAAGACTGCCATTCGCACTCAACTTTCGATCGACTTTCATCCTCTCCCCATAGCTCAGTTAGCGGCCCTGAGCTCTTTTTGTTTACGTGTATTACATGGTTCTTAACTCTTGCTGAGCCAATGTTTACGTAAAACTTTAGACTGTAGTTGTTACTGATGTTTCACAGTTCATCAAAGAATGGGAAACCTAACAGTACACTGTTGATTTAAGGTGATTAATGCTACAGACTTTTTACCGATTCCTCAGTACCATGAAATAAGTAATGGTCCCCGGCCTGACTGCCCACGGGCGAGTTCACCGGGTTTTCACAGACCGTGTAACAAAGGATTTCTCCAAAGGGTATTTCACGGATAAATAACCCTTACCCATGTGTTGAAAGCACTGCGAAAATATTGGTTCACAGTGATTCCAAGGAAAAGTGGTACTTTTATGAGAATTTCACAGATTAATATGTTCATAGTGAGTGTTATACCGTGTAGCTGAAAATGTACATGATGTGATGGTGATGTCATCGGGTGAGAAGTCATGTGACATTAAAGGTGCACCCTTCAAAGCACTACACCTTCTGGAGTACATGTCCAGTAGGGTTGAAAACTTACAGATACCTCGAAAGGGAAGCGTTGTCAAGGTTGTAGAAGAAAACTGACATCATGGGACAATGGCGTCATCATTTGACAAGTCACGTGACATTAAAAATGCACCCTTCAAAACATTATCTATTGAATTGCACATCCAATAGGGTTGAATCCTTGCAGCTCTCTTGACAGGGATATGTTGTAAATGAAAATTGATGTGACGATGACTTCATCAGGTAAAAGTAACGTGACATTACTGGTGCACCTCTCTGATCACAACTGGTATATTTACTGAAGTACATGCCCGATTGGGTTGAAACCTTGCAGGTACCTCAACAGGGGAGTCTTGTATAAGACAACTGACATCATATGAGGACGTCTCCATCATGTGGTACGTCACGTGACATTAGAGGTGCCCCTGTCTGATCACAACTGGTATATTTACTGAAGTACATGCCCGATTGGGTTGAAACCTTGCAGGTACCTCAACAGGCGAGTCTTGTATAAGACAACTGACATCATATAAGGATGTCTTCATCATGTGGTACGTCACGTCACTTTAGAGGTGCACCTTTCAAAGTATGGTACTGTATCTTCTGAAGTACATGTCCCATTGTTTGAAATCCTCCAGAGACTTAGGAAGTGTTCGAGGTAAAACTGACGCCATTTTATTATGGAGTCATCAGGTACATGTATAAAAAGAATTCAGTAACATGATAGTCAGTATAAATTGCCTTCGTTTGTCTATAAACCAGACTAATATTTGGCCTCACGTACTTTCAACTGCATATGAGACATGCACCGAAAACAAAACTTTATACATATAGTTAATTCCACTCATTAGTAACGAATTCAAGTCGTTACACTCTCTTTTTGATTTTTTTCAATGAAATATCCTTTTCCAATTCATTATTAAAAGTTAAATTCTTGTTTATTTACTCTCCAAAATGGGGTTCAATAGCACATTTTTGGCAAGCAAGAAAAACTCTGAAAAAAAATAAATCCTATAAATATGCATTGGGTTTTGGAAGAAACAAACATTCACTGTGACTGTACTCTTGAGCCACGCCCTCAGAAACTGACCTGCCTGAACGGTAAGCCCCACCGTGAAGACACATCTGGCAATTTTCCCGGCTGCATCTTGGTAGCGGTATTCCACTGGTGTTGTGCCCAGAGGGAAGGATGCGCCAGAAGAGTAGGTCTGCATGAGTAGCCGCAGATGGCCGCTGTCATCATATGCAGTGACAGCTGGCCACGTCACACTGCCACTGGTACTACCTGCAGGCAATACCTGTTGAATGTTTTCCGGACAGCTAGTGATGACCGGTACATATTGCTCAGTACTTGCTACAGATGGGATTTAAAAAGAACAATATCAAGTTTGAAATGATGCATTTAGTGCCTCATACATAAACATGAAACCTGCCTCTAGAAAATCCACCCCTTTAAACCTCTCTGTGACAACCAGGAAGGTTTGAAATCTAGATGCTTGTCCGGGAACGATCGATTCAATATGCGTTATTGCAAAATTTCAAGACCGAGCCTCAGTGTACGAGACTCCTGTCCAAACTGCACAAGACCAGCGTTTGTTTTATTTTTTGACAAAAATGCAACAAATCGTGCACTTAAACTTGATGTATGAGCCAATCAACGTAGTGGACAAGAATCGCGCAAGAACATTGCATTTTGAGCAGGCCTCTACTACGAGATTTGTGTGTGAGGATGCACCGTGTTTACAGCTGTATCTCCACCTGACAGTTTGGGGTCACCAGCATATCATTAATACATAATGAGTGTTTCTGAAAATCGACGAAAAAGGGACTCGCGGAAGCCCATTTTTCAAACATTTTTTCAATCATAAATGGGAAAACTGTTCCCTTTTATCATGTTAATTTGGGAGGATGGTCTTGCCACCTCGTTTAAAGGTTACAATAGGGGAAAGAAGGTTTTCTTTTCCCTACCTCTTTAAATAAAACACAATGCAGAGTGAGGTAGCCCAAAGGGGATGGAAACACACAGCCACAATGTGCTGTATCCCTAAATGCACAAAAATCCCCAAACAACTGTATGTATGTATGTAAGGAAAGTATGCCAGGCACAGAATACGATCAAACAATCAAAGGAGACAAGATTTTACCTTTCTCAGGTGAGTGCTAAAAAACGCATTTTGCTGATTTGTACATAAGCAAACAAATGAAAAGCACATCAACTTACGGCTTCTTCGCACTGTAAAAGAGCAGGAGGCTCGGTTGTTAAAATTGTCCACAGTGCTGTAGGTGACGTCGGTGAATCCCTCAGAAAAAACATCTCCAGGGTTGTGACTGGGTGTCGTGGTTGAGATGCCTGATGAGTCGAACGGTATTGGTACAATCCAGGTGGCAACGCCGGTAGTTGGATTAGCGACGACATCATTTGGGCAGGTCAAAGACGGCACTGTAGCATCCGTTCCTGACAGGCCAAGAAATCAGCCAACTCTGGTATCAATATTACAAGTTACAGGAAAGTAGCTGGGATTCCCAGTCCACTGCATTCTATCCAAACTTTTTTAGAGGGGAGGGACTTTTATCCCTTTCAGGGTACAAAGTAGCTATGCTTGTCTTGGGTTACTCACGATGGGAAAATTCCCTCCCCCCCAACAACCTGGTCCATAGATGGACTCATATAATGATGTCTGAAGCCAGTGAAACTATGAAAACAAAAACGAAGTGGAGATTGAAAGTAAATGCATATATACTGGCTGAAATGGGTCATCCTTCCACCCGCTCCAAATTATACACTTGTAGAATTGTGTAATTGTGAGCATTTTGGGGTTGTATAGGGACCTTGCACCCTGTTGAATTAGACATGAATACCTGGGCACCAAAAATGCAACCTTACTTCAAACACTCAAGGAAAAAGATGAAAATGAGAAGAGTATTCAAATTGCCAATTCAGTCTTTTCCAAATCAAGTACCAAAGTGAATCATGGGTTTTTTCTTTAACATCATGGGTTTTGTCATGTGCACATGACAATGGTGTGTGTAACAAGCATTAGTGCAAGGATCAGTGCACAATCCAATACACGTTCAATCATTTACACCAGTGTCTTAAAATGATATCACACTTCAATACTCTAAACCATTCAATGCCCAGCAATGATACATGATCCACGAGTCTCCCTCAAGCAAACATCACTGCCAGCTACACATTTGCGCAGCTTGGAATTGTACTTTCCCATCTTTCCCGTCAACCTCTACATACCTAAAGTTGACAAAATCACGTTAAATCTGCACTCCACTGGTGTGTTGGGGTTGGTCGGGTCAATCCACTGGTAAAAAACCTCTGTGGAACCTGGCGGGAACTGGAAACCTGGAGCATGTGACCGCCAGGACCGTCGAACTACACCATTGTTGTCAGAGGCTGTGGGCTCAATCCAGGTAACTGATGCACTAGTCTGGCCAGAAGATATGAACTGAGTAGTATCTGATGGGCAGTTAGACACTGTCGGCGAAACGACATCAGTCACAACTGGGACAAGAAAAATAACACAGATGAGATAATAAATTCTCCAACTTTCAAAAGTAATTGAATTTTACCACACAGAGTTAAGACACATTAAAATGGGATGTGTTTTTGAAAACAAAGAAAATGTTTAGCAGGGACTTTACTTCCACAAGAGCAATTGAAAACTTGACCATGGGTAACTGTCCTCTGAACCCTGTTGTGCAACAGACCACGCAGTTCATTGGTGAAGTCATTCTTTGTGGAAATGAAGCTTGAACTACACGTGCTAAAACATTTTAATTTTTGCTCCGAGGTTCTCCACTAGCAGAGAAGTACATTAAAGATTTTAAACTAAAAAATGGACATGAAAACAAAAGGATTTGCAAACATTCTACCACATGGAAGAGTCCTTCCACATGTGTTTATTTACTATTATTATTTTAAGTCTTTCTGGTAATGAAACCAAGGAGTCCTAAAGAGTGCCCCAGGTACTGTAGCTCGTAAGCCTGAAGAGACCTATAGAAAGTGACAATAAGAAGAAGTTACAGCGTTTAGAGGTGGGAGAAAAATCACACAAGAATGTTCTGTGTAAAACCCACTGAATCAGGTAGGGACTGAAAACCTGATCCACGTATGGACCAAGCTGGGAATCCAACCTGAGACAGAGAGGTGAACACCATGGAAAGAAGCCCTTTGCCAACCTGACTCCCCTATTATCAATTTCCTGTAGAGGTATAAACACTGGTCCCACAGCACAAGCGCATGCAGTCTGTGAGCGAAAGTGATGAAGGGTGCAGCTCCCACATGTAGCAGTAAGCCTGCATATATTTGTGAGCAGTCTCTGTGTGGCAGCCATTCATCATTGATATCACACAGCAATGGTGGTGTTCCTGTTGCAGGGCTTCCCTTGACCATTCAAGTGGGAGTTTTGGAGCAGCTTCATACAAAATTGGTCATAAATAAGCGATCGCCAGGCAATTCCTACCCAACAGATAATCAGCAGCCGATTTCACAAAAATGTGGCTAATTTTGAACCATACATAAGCCTTGCGCCAAAAATTTATGCCGTAGCTGCACAATATGCTTACATTTGATTTCACGAAAAGTTGTGTAGATGCACCACATTTTAATAATATTAAATTTTTTGGACACGGACAAAACTGGCTTTTGCAACAGCTGTTCTTGTCTAATACATGTGTATTAACAGCAGTGATCAAACATTTGTCGTTGAAACCGGACAAAAAGTTTTACAGTTTTCTCACAGCCAAACAAGTTTATTACTACCTTCCGGAACAAAGTTGTTTTTTGTTTCTTGTTTAGTCCTTAATTAGTCTAGCAATGATGAGGCTTAACTGGACCGGATAAGTAAGTCAACTCGTTCATTTTCGCTTCGTTTGGCGCAACTCACACTACCTAAAATTACTGCATAAGTTACGCCATAATTTGTTGCCTAAGTCGCGGACTTACACAGTGCGTAAGTTTCATAAAATCGGTCTTAATATGTTGCACAAATTATGCAATAAAATGCGTTGTAAGTGGAGTTACATCATTGCGTAAAGTTTCATGAAATCGGCTGCAGATCAGATTAACTACTATTGGACTGGCATACCATCTCTTGACCTGCATCAATCAGTTATAGGCTTCAAAGCGACATCAATGAACAACTTGTGACAACGTGATTCAGGCTGAAAAGTTTGGTATTTTGCAAAAGTCATCTGTGCCTATGCCACTATGATGACATATTCAGATAAGGCTAAAGGAAGAGTTTGACAATCTTCATTACAACTGCAGCGGTCCTGTTGCATGATTAGCTGATAATACGACTCAGCAACTTCTATGAAGAGTTGGCCACAGGCTGAATGCCTAGGGCAAAGAACTGGGTCATCTTGCAACTTAAACGGCACCTTTCTCCTGTTCCTGAGCACAGAACACAATCTGCTCATCTCACAAACAGCCTACTTCAGTAGGCTTGAAGTCTGAGGACAGGTTTTGCATCCATGATAAAAATATAGTCCTAGATTATGCCCTTGCAACCAAGTTTACATTCCCCTCAAACTGACTGTATGCAGCTCTACCATCTGCTCAGAACATAGGCTCATCAACCTGAAACTCTTGTGGAAAGTTAGTGGTGCTATAATCCATGATGCTTTCTATGAAATGCAATAAACTTCTTCTAATCCATGGGAGGAATCTCTGAGCTGCATCAACTGAAGGAAAAGACCAAGGTCATGCAGATACTACTCAGAGAGCTAGCTTCCATTGGCAAACAAGTGTGCTCTGGTGGCCCATATTGAAGAGGATACTTACTTGCTTGTAAAACCATGGTACTATTCTCATAGGACGGTCTGCAAGGAGTGACAAAATGTCCTCCATTTGGTGCTGTCCAGTGCCAGTTGTTCCCGTTTCAGATACTCACACCCCTCCATTCTCCGATATTATCCACCCAAGTCTTCCTCAGAGCTTCCCTCCATCTGGTGCCATCAATAGAGCCTTCTAAGACTTGCAACACTGACAGGTCCCCTGTACTTCCTCTCACCGGGTGGCTCACGTACTTGAGCTTCAGGTAAGTAACCCTTGCAGCAAGCTCTGGTCGCAGTCCAGTATTAGCATGCCCTGTGCACCTCATGGGTTTTTCCTTCCACCACTAAAACTGTAACTTCTCACTCTTTCCCCTCTACAGGTTTTTTCAGGCTTCCAAGCTACATGCCTCGGGCACTTCTGAGGAATCCTTGGTTTCATTGCAAGAAAGATTTTAATAGATAAAAAATAAATATTTGTACTTGTCAAATATTTGATTGCCACATGAATCTTTCACAGAATATTTAATGTCAGGCAACTCAAAGAAATTGTTGCCCAAATTAAAAAGCTGTCACTGAAACCCTAAACTTTACTTACGTCCAATCCTGACAAAGAATGAGCAGATAGCACTGTTTTGCTGTGCACTGCCTGGGGGGTTGTCAATAAACAGGTAACGGACAGTGGTAAAACCGTAGTTAAAAGGGGTGACGCCAGAAAACTGACTATACACGTTGGACTGGCTATCCGGGTTGGTTGGCGTTCCTCCAGGCTGGAAATTTACTGCAGCGGGAGCGGTCCAAGTAGCAGTAGCCGTTTGTGATGTAATGGACACGGTCATCCCACCCAAATCATCCATCAAACAGTTAAATATTTGTGGAGGCACCGTATCTGGAATAGAAAGATGGAAACACTGGCAATTGTGGTGCTGTAAATGTGAGAAATCAGGGATATGTTTTTATAAAAAAAGAAACAAAAATGAAACAAAACTAATTATCTGGAGTTCACTAAAGTTCTTATATAATCTACGACCAGAAAGTGACAGAATGGGCGTCACAGATTTGTGACAGTAACTGTGGGACACGGAGGGAGGAGGTATTGAACATTGCCCTAATTCCACAAATTTTCAGGATGCAGGAAATGTTAACAGAGATGATGGGTGTTAGTGGATATCATAAGACAGTTTACTGTTCACTGTTCACGATGGAGGTTCAATGTTGATTCACAACATGCTGTGCCCCAGTGGTAATTTTTCATGACAAACAATCACAGAGTCAGTGATTCAAATCCAGCTGAAGGTTTGCAACAGCACCGAGTGATGTGACTCCAGTAAACGAATGTCAATTTTGGCATAACTACATGTAACTCAGACTCTGCCTGATTATGTCATACGTGACTCCAGAATCATCTCACTGGTTTTGAATAACAGTGAACAAAATGACCTTTCAACTAATTGGGGAAAAAAAGGTTTATTAGCAAAATTCTGATTTTCTTATTTCAGGTTGCCTGGCATTGTCTCACTTCAGGATTTATTAAAGGTGTATACATGTACAATGTACTTGTGTCTAGTGGTCAGCATGCCAGGTAGTAATGTTGATATGCCAAATTGTGCCAGTCTAAATTGTCTTAACATTATCCAAGTCAATGTGTCTCACACTTGACACAATTCGTCTAAAATGTTGCACTTCATCTGTTCATCTACCCCTATTAATTATATGACCAGTGACATGACATTTGTAAACAATGTGACTTTGGCACATGCTGGGCACATCATTCACACAGGACCTCTCTGCTGTAGTTGGGCCGGCCTAACTGTAGCACTCTAGTTGGGATGGGCCCAACTATAGTTGGGACTGATGCTATAGTTGGGGCATAACATTACTAGTACTAGGGCCTACATGATGTAGGCCCCTGTACTGTACTAGTATAAACAATGACAAACACAATATACACCTGGAAAGTGGCCAATGAGAACAGAATATTTTCCTGGAAGACTATTTTGAAAAGGGGAAATAACGTCGGGATTTCTTACTGGATCGCCTGGTATTAGCGGCATTTGGGGTAGCACAATCGCACGATGATGCTGATTAACTGATGCCCTCGCACCGAACACCAAGGCGTGCACCGTACGTGAGCGGGCGGCCAACTATCCTCGGGAACAGGACCAAACCCTTTTATTCCTGCGTAATCATGGCCTCAGGATAGCGATCGAGTCTTTCTTCAACGAGTCTTTCTATGACATGTGAAACTGAATGTTGAATTCCATCTCGAAGGCAGTTGATGGAGCCCAAACAACATTTCAAGTTCACTTGTGAAGCTTATGAAGTTACCTTCTGTATCTGCCATGTAATACGTATGCAATTCACCCACGTGTTTTTGTGTGCGTTCCAGCGCCCTCAGTCGCCCAGAAATAGAGATGAATAGACATGTGCCAAGTCTTCCCTATGCAGTGTGTTTTTGAAAAATGTTGGACCATGGAGGAATAAAAGGCACATAGTTGAAAATTTCGGAATTTTTCGAAATTGCAACCATCTTGGTCACGTGAATATGGCAGCAAATTAGCCTACAGGCTGAAGGCCTCTCTCGAGAGCGGACGGTGCACGAATTTACAATGTTCAACCGTAAAGAGGAAAATGCAAAATGTGTCATCAAGAAAGTGACTTAATGATCACACAACGCACTACTGAATAACTTCCTGAATAACATAACATAAATCCAGTGGAATTTCACCGGAATTTATTACCCGCACTTACCTGTCCCCCGACCAATGACACAATAGGGACTGTGACCTAGTCTATTTTTAAATACGTTACACCGCTGTGTACTCAGTGCTGACACGCCCCATAAAACTTTTGACCCGGGAGATTGACTACGTTGATTATTCAGATCTTGTGTTTCGGATTTAGGTTTCTGATTTCGTTGTGATACAAATTAAAAATGAACAAAAAAAGTGAGCGCGTTGGTAGAATCAAATTTTGCGGAACTACATGTATGGAGCGTAGGCTCCAAGGGAAAAATCACAAATAGTATATTTTTGAGACTGCATTACGTTCAGTCCATACGATATTTGGTTGGTTACAATCCTGTTGGGGTTCTTGGTAGTTCGTTAAAAATGCTAGTCTTGGTTCCAAGACTTTCCAGTTGTTCCACGACACGTACCATCACAGGTACAGTATTGTAGATGTACACGTACTGTACCGTACATGTACACTGTACATGTACGTACACTCATGTGCAGGGCACTGCCACATCACGATTCGTGTGGTGACAGCGCCCTCTAAAAGTGTACGTGTCGGTTCGTGTCGCGGAATAACTACTGGAAGGTCTTGGAACCAAGACTAATTTAAATACTTGCAAACTGAACACTTGAAAATTATTTTGTGTCATCTTGTCTACTTTGTGGAGCATTTCACCATCGGATTTTTATAGACAGTCAAGTCTGAATCTTCTTTTTCCGCAAAACTCTGAACAAATCAAGAGGCTCTACAAATTACTTGTCTGGTGACTACCTGTTCGCCCTTAATGTTGCAGTTAATATTTGTATATAGCCCTGTGTCTATCCCTTCTCCATGGTGTAACCGATATAGTATTTGAGTCCTCAAGCTCGATAGAGGTGTTCATTCTAAGAGCATAATTTCTTCCCCATTAATACAACTGCCCTAGTCACACCTATAACGCAGAAAACGAATAGAAATGTTCAAAATAGACACAGCTTTCTTGTATTGTTATACAAAGGACAAGATCACGGTCACACCAGGTAATACGATCTTAACGTCCCCTCCCATCTGCAGGAAAAAGGAAGATGAGAAGTCAAACCAAAATCCCCAACGTATAAAGCTAAGGAAAACCCTTGCGACACACGGTACCAAAATAATACAGAGGTTCACTTCTCTTGGAATGAAAGCTCGATCAAGTTCTGTGTATATTTTTGGAAAAACAAATCTCGCTTTCAGCAAACTATCGATTTTCCTCTTTTGTTAATTAAAAAAAACATGATTAAGTGTCGAAGACACATTTCCAACTGTATATAACAAGTTGGGCTCACACGTAAACATTCACGGTACCTGTGACGCAGGGATTTCAGAAAGAAAACTGATTTACGGGGGGGGTTAAAACCTTTTCACTTTAGTAATTATTCAGTTAAACCACAAATCCTAGCTTTCATTATTACGCGATCAAATTCGTGTTTGTAGATGTATTTTTCGAGCCGTGTTTACGTTTATTGTATTTTTTCCCCATTATGATCGACTGATTTTGTGGTTACACCGGGCAAATCATGACATCACCCAATTTGTCGATTATAAAAGTTTTTTTCGAGCGAGTAAGCGGGGGATTTATAAAAAGACTAACGTGAAACTAAAGTCAACTCCAGCGAATTAGGGTTTGTGCCTACCTTGCGAGAGAGCAGGCTCAATCATAAGTGCCGTGATCAGCAGCACAGCCGCGACGACCAGGTAGCCGTTGGCTGCCATCTTCGCCGAAGGGCTAACGGCGATATTTACAACACTGAAAGGACAGCGGGAGGGCGTGGGAGACACGCTTAAGCCTTCCAGAGACAAAACTCGTCCACGTCCGATCTACCAAGGCTGGCAGGCCGGTCTGAATGAACTTGAAGTGCGGACGGCAGCTTTTTTGAGGGAGGAGAGCACCAGGTCGGGGCAAGGGTGCGGCACCGCTGAACTGAATTCCCCAGAAAGGCCAATATGCAAATTTTTCCTTTCATCCCATTCAATAGCAAACCATTCGACCTTGCCAAGCTTTCCATGTTAGTTCTAGTTCCGGAAAAAAATATGAAAGTTCAGGTTGCCCATTATCCATTTTCGGTTGAACGTGCACTTTGTGTGCCTAACTCTATGGAGTAGCGCCTAGCAATTATTGATATATAAAAGAGCACGTCCTTGAGACATTTATTTTAAAGCCACTTGTTTTCTTCGTATGACTCGAGACGATAGTGTGCCCCTATGAGACAATTCAATCCCAGTTTGTTAAATGGCTAAATTGTTGAACTTGGAATCTCAAAAGTTATACTGCGAGGTAACTATGACTGGAGAACACGAGGCTTCCTTTATCACTAAAAAACGAAGTCAATGTTAAAACACTTCGACTACTTTGAAAGATCAGTGGGCACAGTAGCTGCCACGGTGACTACCGAATATCGTTCCAAACTTTTCCGTAATTGGTCGAAATATTCCGAAGTTATTTCGTTGATATTCGGATAGTGTTATTGGCTTTATACAAATAGATTTTGCCAATATCCTATGTCAATGTTTCTCTTGTAATGTTTTACTTATACTGATTCCCACTCGTGCAAAACTTTGCTCTATGACGGTTACTCAAAAACTAACGTACGAGAGCCCAATCGTGCCACAGACAAAAACACCACAGGGAAACTAATTCGTTATTATTCGAATGACCAATTCTTTATGACGAATTATTAATCCATTATTACTACTAAGTAATTCGCAATGTTAGTAATTCGTTATTACGAATTAGTTTCCAGTGTTGATCATGTTTCTGGCACAACTGAGCTTTCGTTCTGACGGACGTGTGCCCTGCATCTAGAAAAAGGATGGGGATTCAAGCATTACGTCATCATTTTTTGAGTTCGGCGGCTACCTGCCGTTACATCGTACTATCATTGATAACCAGCCTGCAGAAAAACGTTTGGCATCTAGGATGGCACGTCTGGAGCTTCGTAGGTCTGTTTTCCACGGAGCGACTTTAAAAACAAGTGTTTCACCGTGACCAAACCTTGCAGTGTAGCGGTTTATAAAATACGCAAGGCAATTGAAGGTTATTTATTATACAGTTCTGATGACCGTAAAATGGAAGCAGTGAGTGTCTTTTTTTAACACGGGGGACTACCAAGTCACTCTTTTTGAAGTTAAACTGGCGTGTAAAATATCAGTGAATAGATCTGTCCCAAATCCCCAACCTCCAAGGCCGCTTGAGTTATGTACAGCCTTGTGGGATTCGATCCCTGATGATGCACACGGCCACCGCCCATAACCACACTTTTATGTACGAACATGTACACCAACAAAACTCCGTTGCTACACTTTGGCCCATATCTGACGCGCTGTTCAAATGGCGACGTCAAAAAGCTGGCAAAAATGATTTCACTCCACGCCTGTCCCGAGGTGAAACCGCAACCCCAAAAGACAGGCGTTGCCTTTACAAAGTACACGTTTCGAAGAACTTCTGGTTGGTTTATACTTCAGGTGTCCGCGGAAGCAAAGCAAAATAATTTAACGTTACAAAACAGAGTAAGTGAAATTCGCTCACAGGCCGGTTCATAATTATACTGTTGACATTTCAAAACCTTTCCGATTACGTCTGGGGAGTGTGCAAAATAGCTTTTCTTTGCAGGTTCTCCAACATGCAATGCAATCAAAAACAATTTCGTGAATTGTTGCATTCTGGTTGCCACTTTTACATGGCTTTTATAAGTTTGCACCCAGCTGCCTCTTTCAACACAGTTGCGTATGCGCGCTGAACCTACAAATAGAAAGGAACACCCTAGATATTACTTCATATATATTTTCACGGTCGACTGCTAGATACCATCGATAACTGTACATGTATTACTGACTCGGCAGGGAACCGCTCACTACTCAGTGTCGGTGCATACTGATATAATTGTTCTTGTCTTAAAACTGAGCACAGCAAAAGCAAGAAACTGTTCCTCGATTCCATGAACACATCTGAAAATAAAACACCATTACACTGACGATAAGAAAACCGAAAACCAAACATTAAGACCGCAATTACCAGTTTGTGGTTCTACGAGCCATCAACACGTTACAAAGCTTGTTTTATGAGTAAAACGATCATTGTTGACACTGTTATAATGCCAAGACTTTCGTGTGAAACTATACTTGAGACTTTGGGATTTAAAGTTTTGCATACATATAAAACAAAAAGCTACAGTCCAAGGATATTCACTGTTTACAATTTATCCATTTAAAATCAGACGATAAAAGACTGAGACAGCTTTACAATTAATCGTTTTAAAGCAAAAAATCAAAACTTGGTAAGTACAATCAAATATTTCCATCGGTTAATTTATTACATACCCATGCTAGTTCCTATCGGCAAAGCGAAAATGTTTTTTGAGGCGGTTTTTAACTTTGATTTAAAGAGAGTATCTACAACAAGGTTTCATATTAAGTGTCAGCTCAGCACCATGGACAAAATTAAATATGCACTCCATCACACCCACGCATGTCTCTGACATCTCCAAGATTTTGCCAGTTATAGCACTATTTCATGGCGTTGCTTGCCGTGGTTATGCACAGGTAGACACGCGCAGAGATTCCTCCGAGGTAAGCATGCCTTTTGCTGTCCTTACTGCTTACAGCCTGAGATCCACGGAACCTCTGTTACTGTAAAATTGTGTGCTTAGCAGCGCTGCCAAATAGGGCCCTGTGTACATTTGTTAAAATCTTAAACTATCGTGTATATAAACCTTAGTGACAATCTGTGCAAAGACGGTTCTAAATCCCTGCTTCGACTAAGTCTGGGCAGCCACCTGATATTTGCCCAATTGACTAAGGAATTGTCGAAAATCATGTTATGCAAAAGAACACATCGAAATATAATTATGCTATTGACCATAAAGACGAAGCATATTCATAAGTTTGACCATTCTAAGGATACAGATCCCCAGGCACTTTTCACAGACAAAGGAACCGTTGTTAAGGTTGGAATCTAGACGTAAGCACGAAAGAATATCACCAAAAGTTCAAAAACAATGGAAGATTTTAAGAAATGCTAAACCTGCACAAATTCTACCTGTCTAATTCCTCAGTTATTGTATTGCAATTGACGTCATGAACGTGACCTGATGATAAAGGTTAACTGAACGTGACATTCCATTCAATAAAAGTGCCAAAAATTCACCAGACAATAATTAATACGATCTACACTACATGCAACCAAGCCACGCTGTTTAAATAGATATTTACATTAAAAACAATAATGCATATTATTAAGAACAAATACAAACAGAAATAAACAAGGATAATAACTCACACATTAAAACGGCATTCGGCACGAGAAGAAACGAAAACGATTGAATGAAGTACAAAATTTGATGTAAAACGTTACTGAATTTTCATTAGCATTAGTTGAATAAGATTCTGACGTTTTGTACTTGTAAAAAAAGGAATCCTTTACAATTATAACTCAGAAATTTCCTTTGATATCTGAATAAAAATTGCGGGAAAAAATTACGGTTACATAGGTTTTAACATAAAAATACGGATAAAAGTAACGACGATACAAATCTGTATTCATTTAACGGTACAAAACAGTAGAATGCAGACACTAAGCTTACAATTTCACAACTACAAGACAACAATTCGCATATCGTGGCTGGGCTTATTTTTTTCCAGTCTTTTGAGTTGGTAGACTGCTACCAGCATGAGGCAGAGGAAGACGAGAGCAGGGAGCGAGGTCACAAGGACGAGCTCCGGGGAAACCTGTTGATGCGTCTCCTTCGCGTGGCCACCTAAGAGACACAAAATCAAAGGGTAAAATGAAACCCCTCTCGTGTTTCTTGCTTTTCGTATGGGTGGAACAGGCGGCGCTAGGATTTTGTTGTCCACGGCGAAAGGGGAGAAACACTCGTCAGCACAGCAAGGAACAGACCAGCAACTTTCCATTCAAGCAAATTAACGATTTTCATTCCCTTCCTTTTTCGTTTCTTTGGCATTTTACTTATCCGTATTTTTCAACCCCCCCCCAACGTCCATGACGGTGGCCAAAGCAAGCAAGCATTAATACCCCCCGTGGGTGGTGTTACCTCGTACTGCACATAATCAAGTCCCATTACTTTCAAAAGAGTATCATATTTCCATTTTGTATTTTCTGAGACACAGGCCTAGGGTTTGATGTTGTGATATATGTAAATGTACAGCTGCTCGAGAATTTTCAACCGAATTATTCTGAATTATTCTGTCGTTTTTGCACTGACAGCTAGTCATATTTCTACCGGCCTCTTTGGCAAAATAAATCAGCGACTAAGAAAGAGAACATTCCACAGTTTCCCCCCAAAAGGGGGCTGCTGATATCAAGTCAAGCATACTAAATGCAGTTTGTTCAATTCACAACTTTTTAAAGCATGGAGCACAAGTGATTGTGGATTTTTTAAAACAGAAATGTGACTATCAAAAATGAGAGCGACTCGTTCAAACCCACTCAACGTTTGAGAAAAAAATCCTTCGAGTATAGAATTTTGTTTGGACAGTATCAAGTTTATACAAACATTTTTTTTACACTGGGTATAGGCAATTTCAAGTCTTCTGGACGCATGGTGCAAATTTCCCGCCATTAGTGCCAATCGCAATAGCCACTAGTTGGTGAGATCAAACGGTCTCTTGTGTGCCCTTGTACATTTAAGACTCAGGCTGCCCCCAAGTTCCCCTCAGGCACTCGATCTAGGAGTTTGTGTATTTCTGAACTTTGGAAACCTTTTTGTTACTGTAGCCCAGGCTTTCTATCACTTATTTATTTGCATAGTATAGTAACTGTGCCTAGGGCGCTTTTGAAGAATCCTTGGTGTCGATACCAGAAATAATTAATAATAATCAAAATAACAGTAAATAATAATTAGGTCCTACCTGAAAACTTGTTAAAGTGTCCAATTTTTGTTATCCGTTAGTTTTTGTTTCTTTCGTTATTCATTTCCTTGTTTTCTTCATTTCATACAGTGGAGGGGTTCTTCCTCAGTAACATTTCAGTTAATTTAGTCTATCCAGAAAAGTGGCGAGCACAACTAGGAAGCCTGGAAAAAGATCTCCTTTTGGGGACAGGAGCAATGGCAAGATTTGCTGTTTTGTTAATATGGGTCGAAAATATTGACTTTTGATGAAGTAGTGAGAAGAGAATGCTGAGGAAATTCTACTCAAAGAAGCAATTGGCAACTATCAATGAAATAAAGAGATATTTTCAGAGAATAACAGATGAATTAGATTATGGATCCACGGATGAAGAAATCACAGGATTCATGTGGAGTAGAAAGATTCAATTGTATTTCTCTGGGTATCAAAAATCTAAAAGGAGCAGCACGTTGAGCTTTAGGCCTGGATCGAGACGACCCTGCACGCAGGGAAGAAAAGTAGCAATGGGAGGGGTAGAAGCCATACCAGGGTCACTCATGATTACATTTTAGCCAAATCTGGCTACTATGAAAGTTTTACTCTACACAAATTATAAAAAAG